CATACATGAGGTCAGCTTCCTGCACCACTCGCCCAGCCTCCCCAAGATGCCCCCCCCACCCCACCGCACCCCACCCCAGCCAGACCAGTGCTTTACACAGTGCTGAAACCACCAAGTGCCTCAGCCCACACAGAGAGAGCACAGTCTTCCTCCTTCCTTTCCAATGACCCTCTTCTTCCCCAAGGAGCCAGACCCTCAGGGCCTCCCTCTCTTCTGAGGCTGCACAGCAGGGTTCCCAGGCAGTGCCTGCCCTCCTCTGACTGCTGTCTAGTCTGGTCTCATCACTACCACTGAACCATGACCCTACCACGGTGCAGCCTGCAGGGCACAGGGGAAAGCTCACAATCCTAGCGCCAGGACTAAGTGACCTGCCTTGTAGCGCTAATAAGACTGAGTTACCAAGCCAGAGTCCCACAGAACTTCCCATGAGCTGCCAGGCTCCACGCCACAGCAGGGCCCAGGAGACAACTTGGACCCTTTCACCCATAAGGATCCTACTACTGCCCAGCAAGCTCAGCAGGGCCCTCCATCCAAGCCCAGGCAGCAGTAACACGGCCACGATATCTGCATGGTCGTGGCTGTATGCGAACAGTCTCCGCCTCAAGGAGATTACCACTTAAGCCAACCAGAGACCACCACAGACAGAGGAAAAAGGAAAGACGACCGAAACACACAGCAGGAAGCACAAGACAGGCACACCACGTAACTGCCTATGTACAAACATGGCTGAAAGGACGCGGTGACTCTTTAGAGAGAGCAGAGATACAAGTTGCTTTCTTTGGTTAGTCGCCATTGATATTTGAAGGATCACAGCACTGCAGACGTGAAGATCAGTCCTAGCGAACACTGAAGGGAAAAGAGCACTTTCCTGGAGTCACTTCAAGGGGGAGTGGAGATATGCAAGAGAAGGGAGCTGTGTACCTGCGAGCCGAGCACTGGGCAGGACAGAGCTCTGTAGCACATCTCTGGGCAACCTGGGCTTTTGGGTGCCATGGTGCAGTAGCCTCACGGCTTGCTCTCAGGTAGCAGTTCTCTCTTGGTGAATGCCAGCTCTGGTATTAGGCAACTCTGGAACCAGATCTTGCTTTGCTCAATAATACATGCCTGAAGCCACCAACAGGGATTAAAGAAAGGGGGAGTTTTATTTTAATATAAAATAAAAATACCAAACGATTTGGGTTTCTGCAGTTCGGGACAAATTCAGCAGAGGATCAGGCTGGGTGTAAATTGAAGCAGAAGGCTCGGCATTTGAGCGCAGACAGCTGACCAATGCAACTGTGCTCCCACCACACAGACACCTGCTAGAACAGGTCAAGAAGAGGCATTTCTTTCACGTTTGTTTTGCCCAGGCTGCCTATAGCCTAGTCTGAGAAAGGCAAGGGTTTATGCATTGCCTTGGACCCTCCCCGCAAAACAGCCCGAGATTCCTTGACCTTGTCTCTGCTTAGCTCTTCTCATGCCTCAGTCCTACCACTGCCGCACAGAAGCAGAGGCCAGCATTTTTTTGAAAGTCACCATTACCTGGGCCTTGTAGGACTAAATTTGTTCCATCACGCTGATCAGATGTCCAAATGCAAACCTACTCCATCGCGTGAGTCCTTGAAAAGCCCTAAGTACATCTACTTCGGTAACACACCTTCATCTTATCCTGAAGACTAAGGCGCATAAAGCAGCAAGACCCTGTACACCTATTGTATTAAATGGCACCTAGCTGCCTCGCGAGAGAACAGGACCTGTCCCCACATGTCTCCCCCAGAGAAATCCCGTGACAACGTTTGGCTGAGAACCCAGGAGCTCCAAGCCCTGTGCCTCGGTGAGCGTGCTAGCCTCCCACTTTCCGTACTACGCGCTGACACCGCAATAGTGATCAGTGCCAGCTGCCCTGGGCAGCTCTTGCCCCTCCCAGAGACCTACCCTGTGAATTCTGACTGGCAACTCCGTTCCCACCGGACACCCAGCAATTAGTTTGCCTCCGGGATGTTAATCCTGTTCCACAAACATGGCCACCGTGGCTACAGGACTTTGGAAACCTCCAGGCAGACGCCTTGGAGCCAAGCCCAGCCCTGACATGGACTGCATTAAAATAATACGTCCCAGGCCAGGCCGCGTGTTAATGCCAACTCAGAGAGCAATGCAAAGAGGCCTAAAAATACATTCCACTATTTTGCCGGGCCAGAAAACCAAACAGTGCAGAACTTCCTGTGACAGAGAACCACCCTGAGCAGAAATGACTCAAACAGCAGCAATGCAATAGGAGGAGGGAGGAGGGGGAGAGCCGTGGCACTACAGAGCACACAGAAGGACTGGCGAAGGGACGGGCTATGCCCACATTGTGTGTGCACACGCGCGTGTCATACACAGGGGCAGGAAACCTGCCATCGGAGGCCAAGCTGACACGGCGGCCGCAGCCCACCAAACACAATCCAAGTCCTTTCATCCCGGGGCTGGGAAAGGAAATTTGCTAACAGTTTCACCTTTAAAGTGGCCACGAGGCCTCAATTGTTTTAGACACTGGTCACAGCTGCTCTGAGAACTAGATCAGGCTGGAACTTCTGCCTGCATCGCCGCAGCCAACACTCACACACAGACTTCAAAAGCCCCTTTCATCAAAAAAGCCATTGAGTTTCCCTGCAAATGCCTGCGGCCCACTTGCTTTCTAATAAAGATATGGAACCGCTTGCGCCTTCCCCAGCCTGCCGGGCTCCTCCTCCTATGGGGTCCTGCAGAGAAGTCATAATCCTGCCTTTGCGACTTCAGATCTGCTGCCTTCAGCATCATTTAGGGAAACACGAAGGGGCAGAACCAGGAGAGATGGGACAGAATAAAAGAAGAGAAAGGGGGAAGGGGGAGAGGAAGGAATTTAGGCTGGATGCCAACTCCCTGATCCAGTGAGGCGATGCTGTACTGCTTCAGGAGCGCACAGAATAGCTGACTCAGCAAACTCCATCCCTGGTGCCAAACACGCCACGATTGCAGTCCCACCGTTCACAGTTATCACTAGGAAGGTGACTGCTCACACAGCAGCAAACAGAGCTGTCCTATGGGCGTGCCCAGAGCCACAGGAATTCCCCTGCTCCTGGCCCCGCAAAACCAGCTCTGTGCCAGGACGACAGGCCCACATCTATGCTGGCTTGTGCCTCACTATGGAACGGTTCATTACCCGCGTTCTCGCTGCAGCACCTTTACTACGGGTGAAGATGAACTAGGCAGAAGGAGCCCCAGTCAACACTGGTGCACCCGACAAACCTACAGAGCGGGCACTTGGAAAAGTCCTCGTTCCATGCACGTGGAAGGAAACTGATCTGGAGTCAGCAAGAGAACAAACCCCCTGATTTCTGGTCACTGAGAAGATGGGCACTTCGGCTGGGCCAGAGAGCTAAAGAATAAGGTATTACCCTGAATTGGGCCCCAAAAAGACCAGAGAAATCAGATCTAATGGGTCTTTATCTCTCACCGCTACGAGTCACTTGCTGCATTTGGAGAGATGGAGATGGAGCAAAAGAAGGAGTCAGCTCTTTATTCACATTCATTCACATGTGCAAATCTCATGCACTCTCCTTTAATAATCGGCAACAAGATGGGAAAACGATGCAAAGGAAAAAGAGCCCCAAAGGGCAGAAGGGAGTGGGGTGGATTTGGGAATGCACAAGGTATATTTCTGAGGTTTGCCTTTGCGGGGAGAGCAGAAAAGGCTTGCAGCAATAAGGCAAGGTTGGCAGTTCTACCAGGGGCAAAACATTATAGTCTACACACAACCATACACAACTGACTAAGCTTATTTCTTCCCTCCACTTCCCCCCAATACACACATTAATTACAAACAAATTTGCAGGGATTTCTCCATTGTTCCCCAGCTAGCGAATAAGTGGAAACGTTGTCGCCAATTCCATATCTCAAATGTGCACCAGGGCCCGGGCCCAAATCAGCACGTCAGAGAGCTTTAAATGAGACCTATTCTCATCTCCGCAATGCCAACATGAATCCATAGCACCTCTGCTGTCTGCAACACACCTCCTCCCCTTTCTACCTGCAGTGTCAGAGGAAGGCTGCTCAATGATCAGAGCACAGACCAGTAGGCACAACTCCCAGTTCTTCTCCCACCTTTGCTACTGACTGATCTTGAGCAAGTCCTCTAAGATTCCTTGTGCCTCAGTTTCCCCTCCCCTCTATAAGTCTACTTACATCTCCCAGGGACTCTGGAGAGGCTTAATTAACATTTGCAGAGTGACTGGAGCTCCTCTGATGAAAAAAAGGAGCAGATCAGTGCAAAGTACTATTGCCACCATAAACCAAATACAAACAGCATTTATCAAGGATCTGATTTCCCTGCCCTTGCAATTCAGCATGTAAAGTAGCACAACATATCATCCAAGGTGAAAGCATTTATAGCCACCCCGCTGCCATATATTTTGAAAATTAAAAACCTCCCTGCTGCCTGCAGAAGCCCACATTGGAGCCAGCCTGTGAAATGGAAAAAACAGGAGGTGGTTCTTCTTTTTTTGTGTGTGTATCGCACAGGGTTGTGGATTGAGGCCGAGAAAAAACAACACAGGAGGGGCAAGGACAGGCTTGCCTGGTTGTGCCACCAGCATTTGGTCCATGCAAGGAACAGAAAGGAACAACGCTGTGGGTACAAACCGTTTGTTCAAGCATCCTTAGCTACATCAGCATCTGGAGAGAGGAAGGATGATAAGCATACAAACTCTGCCTCTTCTTGGCCTCTGGTTACATGGAGGATGCAAGCCATGCAGATCTGTGCCCAATAGACAGATAACGGTCTTTAGGGACCCCACAAACAGGACTCTCTCTTAGCAGCCTCCTGAATGGAGGGGGCAGCCCCTGGTTTCTCCCTTGACTGCTTGTTAGCAAAGGAGCAATGCAAAGTGCCAGGCGGGTTTGGGACCTGGGAGTGGGGCCAACACACCATCTCCAGCTCATCACCCTAGAGCAGCCTCAGCCCTGTGCTCACCAGTTTGGTAGGGAGCATCACGTGCCGGGACTTGGCATCTCCACAGGCTGCTCCCCACACACCACAAAGGCAGGCAACTGCAGATTGGTGCCATCCTGGTCCCTGGCCCTTCATCAGCAAATGAGGCAGGATTTAGACAGACAGGTGAGCAACAACAGACTCGTGGCAGGACCAGCAAGGAAAAGGAGCCTCAGAGAGGGCATG